ACACACACACACACACTGGACTTTCTCGGTCCCCTGAGCTTTTGTGCGATGCTGACTGCGCGCATCATTTCCCCTTCAGCGATGAAGCCTCATGCTCCGTTTATACGCAACAAGTGCTTTACCCCTTTGTAAGTTTTAAAGTTATTTGTGGTTAAATAAAATTGTATATTTCTTTCACATCTAATGTAATGATACACTAACAAGGTTTATTACTAAACGTTTTTCATCATTGTGTTAAAACACCTTTGTTTCCATTCAACTTGCAACAATCACTGATTAATTAAATCATTAATGAACAATGAACTAATTTCTATTGTATTGTATCGTGTGTGTGTGTATATATATATATATATATATATAATTAGACTTATCATTCGTTAAATAATTGTTCATTTATTTTTAATTTCTTACTTATTGTGGCACATGTGCAGTTATCCTGTTGTTATAAACCTCAGTACGAAGACTGTAGATTTTATTACTCTGAACATCTAGGTAATTACTTAGTGGTGATTATATTAACTCACTATTAACAAACAGCCTAACGTATTTTTTCTCTCCAAAGAACAGTTGTAAAATACAAAGGCATTTTAGTCATGTGATCACCTCCAAATGTGTCGTGGAGTGTGAATAAATAAACACGTTTTCTATATTATATTTGCATGCACGATTTGCAAGTTTCCGACTTTATAATTAATGACCTTAAATATACTTTATATGCATTTTATAGGCTACTAAATAATGTTTTCCACTGAATGCTTCAAATAGAAAAGTTCAACTTGTCATTGTAATAGGATACGAAATAAGGGATGATGGGGGGGGGGGGGGGGTTAAACGAACAATTGTAAAATACTAATCATTTTATCACCTCCAAAATGTAGGCTATTGTGCAGTGTGAATAAATAAACATATTTTCTATATTATATACGATTTGCATGTACCCAATGTGTGTTTCCGACTTTATAATTAATGTCTTTAAATATACTTTATTATACACTTTATACTAAATAATGTTTTTCCACAGACTCAAATAGTAAAGATTAGGCTACTTGTCATTGTAATAGGATAAGAAATAAGGGATGAGGGGGGGAACTCTGCGTAGTAACATCAATAATATAAAACAACCACCCTTTCACAATCAATCCAGCGCTATTCAGTGAGAATGACTTCAAGATAAAGGAAGATTGTTCTCACTGTATCTGTTAGCGATGACAAACAGACGGCCATCGTTTCGATCAGGACGCTGATGAGATGCGCGTCCAGGTGTGGGGATCCTGGAGATAAGTTGATCTAATCGAGGCTATTCAGCAGCTAATTGAAAAATAGTGTATGTCACACATTAATGTCAACACTGATCCCTTTAATTCTCCAGGAATTTACTGTCTCTCAAACAGTTGTGGAGATGAGTGCTTTACACGCCTCGTCTGATCGACAAGTAACATAGGCTATTACAACACGAAGCGATTACAAAATTATACTGTTTACGGTTTACTGGAAGGCAACAGACAACCTCTAATCAACCAGCCCCTGTAAACACGTTGTTTTTTTCCGTGTATGTAAATATGTATGGCCTATAGGCCTATGTAGAATACAGCAAATCAATTATGTGGAGAACAATAGCTCACTCGAACCGCGCGAATAATTTGTATCATATTTTATTTTTTTTAATTTTCACAAAAGCATTTGTAAAGTGAATTTCTTCAACATGTATTTCAGACAAAGAGTGTCTTTAAAATATAATGAGTGGGATTGTGCAATGTAAATAACATGTCGGGATAGGCAGGCTATAGCCTTTTCAAAAACAAAAGGGTAACAGGGTTGACAATTTAATTTAATATTACAAGCCTTGTGTTTAAGTTTATGACACTACAAGGTGTTTAAGATAAGCTCTGTTTATTGAATAAAAGATATTTGTATAAATATCAGGTTTGTACAAAAGACTAAGATTGTTCTCTACTGAAACACCTAACAAAATATAGTGAGAGACACTTGCTACTTGAATGATGTATATAACGTTTTTTATTTTTTTATTTTAACAAGGTTGATATCTTTTTTTATTTTGAATAAAAACGTCCACTAAACTCTAAAAACATGCATAATGCAAATAAAATCAGCAAAGCTACTACAAAGTACAAGCTTTTATTTGCACATCTTCATGCAGATTACTGGATTTGCAAGTTACTGGATTTTTTGATAAGGTGTTAAGAAAAAATACCTACAAGAAACAGTAAAATACTCTAATATACTTTATTCTAAGGTGGTTGAGGTTCTTGTTCTCTAATTTTTCCCCCTTTAAAGACATCTTATGTTTTCTGTTTATGGTTCAAGAGGAGCAGCCATTAGTTCAGTTAGTAGGCAAGGGATGCATGACCTCCGAAGGGGGGAGAGACCAGCAGCCGTGCCAGAAAACAGCCCGTTACTGAATGGAGTCCGTTCCCATTGGGATACATGGAGTGTGGAGGATTCGAGGAGTGTTTTGGAACAAACAGCCACAAAATCTTACATGGATTGCCAACAAGCCTTGACAGATTGACTCGTGGTAGATTGTGTATCAGTGCCACAGCGACTAAACGGCAGACTGTTTATAGACTAATGCTTCTTTACCTAAATGTACAAATTTGCACAGCAGCCTTCTGACCCTGCAGAGAGGTGGAAACCTCTGACACTCCTCACTGAAATGCTTGCTATCTTCTGTTGGTATTTATAGGCTGTCGCTCCGGTGATAAGGTGGCACTGGTGGTCTGGAGGGAGACAGAGAGGAACGAGGGCTGACCTTCCCAGACGGAGAGTGTGAGCTCTGCCACTCTTCTCCACACCGACTGCTTCACGTCGCCTTTGAGACACTGTGGGAAGCATTACTGTATAAGGGTGATTGTGTGCGTGTGTGTTTTTTTGATGAGAAGATGCCTGAAAATGCTGGCGAGGATGGAAAAGTGAAAAACCCTTTTGCTTTGCATAAAAAAATATCTCTGCTTGTTTGACTCAGTACAATAAAGATCACTATGATGACAAAAGAGTGTCTTTTTTGATACTATCTGTCTACTGCATCAGGTCAAGTTGCATAAGAATTATTTTTTATTAAAAAAAAAAGACAGTTACCGGTTGTTATATATTGTTGCCAATTTGATAGCAAAGTTAAATATAATTACTCAGTGATGTTTAAACTATTAATTTCACACGTTCAATATTTTAAGAGAACAGAGAGTTGATAAATTCCTGGTGAAGTTGTGCTGGAAAACTCCGCTGCTCACTATAATCGCAAATAAACCTTTCATTATAATATCATAACACAAAGCTTACACACATGCAATTAAAGCAACGATGGAAGAAATCTCAGCCTGTGTCCTGAAGCTTGTGGAAGATTCATGATGATAAAAAACAGTTCCCTAAACAAAGGCAGTGATTGAGATTTGTAGCCTCAGGCCCAGATTTTTACCTCGTCATTCAAATGCATTTATTTATTTTTTTGTATAACAAATATATTCAGGAGAGAGCAAGGTAAGTTAAAAGGGAAAACAACAAACTAAGGAAGTCAGAATGCATATGCAGTATTAAGCAAACACAAATGTATAGAAGACTTGTTAAATTCACTTGCATAAATTCCTATTTCAAGATCACATTGCGTAAGTATTATTACAAAAAATATAGTCCATACAAAGCATGTGCACTGCATTCAGACATAAAGTCATGCCAACTTGAATGGCGTTATAAATTACGGTGAACAAACTCTTCATGTTTCCTCTCCAGCTACTGAGGCTTTCAACATGCACAGAGCTGCCAGCCAACAGCGGGCTCTTTAAACATTTTGACAAGCTGATGATTAGGACCATGTATTCACATTTCTTGTTTAATTGGTATTTATCAATAACTGTGTGTTGTGTGTGTGTGTGTGTGTAAAACGTTACATCCAGTCAAGCAAAGCTAAAAGACATTCTTCAAACAAAGCCATTTAAAATAGTTAAATAAACAAGCTAATACAGAATGATATATTGATGACGATAATGATAATGATGGAACTACTTTTTTAACATTTGGGTAGTGTCAAAATCAATCGCCTGAGCTGAATGAAGTTTGCTGTGGATCGTTGAGAGCGCCACTGCTAAATATCAGCCTATAAAACAAGGAAAAAAAGCGAATCAAACAAGGAAACATTAGAACACAAAACTCCCTTTTTGAAAGAATCAATACATGTCATTTACGCATAAATTGAAAGGAATTTAAATCATTTGAATCCACTGATTTTATAAAGCAAATAAAATTGAATCCAAGAAACTGACTCTTGGTAAAAACAATCAAATTATTTTTTTTTTAAATCAAATATACAGAAAAATGTGCAGAATCATAAACACTATAATGTAACAAGATTCAATTGTAAACATGACCATGTTTGATTACCTATAAAAGTCAAATCAATTCAAATGTGAACTACAGTACATGTCTACTAAAATATATCAAACACTGTCTACTGATGTGTGAATGGAAACCAGCATAGCGCTTTGTGAGCTCAAACCTAAACTCAACTACCGAGAACTAATCAGGACACGTATTTGATGAGCACACACTCTCTCTCACTCACACACACACATGCACGCATTCAATAAAGATGCGCACTGGAAGTTCGATTGATAATGATATTGGTAATATGACACATCTTTGAGAAAAGTGGCAACTCCAACGGATCCCTTCTACAGTTCATCCGACCCGTCAAGGTTAATATCCATGCACTCTCTTTCTCTCTCTCAGGTGGAGGCAATGTTAACATTAAGCTACAAGGGAAGTGAATGACAAAGGATGGTAACGCAGGGCCTGATTGAACAGGGTTTTCCTGCATGCCAGGTTTGATTAAAGGAAAAAGAACAGAGAAAAGATATAGCGGAGCAGAATGGAGTTGTGTTGATGTGTTGTGGTTGTACTGTCAAGATTGTCCAAAGGCGACAGAGAAGTTTTCCTTGGGGCAGGACGGCTGGTTTTAGGGGAAGGCGGTGGGGTAGAGGCTGAGGGGCTGGCTCTCATTGGTGGGGAGAGGGGACCGGTAGCCCTCGAAGTTTCGGGGAATGCTGCCACTGGTGGAGCCAGAACTATTGCTGAGCGTCTCGATGCTTCCCTCCCTCTGGAGCTCTGCTGCATTCAAAACACACACACACACACACACACACACACACACACACACAGAGAGAGAGAGAGAGAGAGAGAAAGAAAGATGAAGCAAATACCAACATTAAACAAGACCCACTCTTAGGCAGGATCACCGCAGTGCTTGAAGTCATTAAAGATTTTAAATGATTCACTGTACTGCTGTAAAAAGTGTGTTAATCTCAAGATCTCACTAGTTACCTGAAGGTGTTGAATTATTTTAAATATAAATTAAATGTTTGCAATTTAAGATGATTCATAATCATCTGAACTTCTAAACAATGTTTCAGCTTTTAGAATAATGGGAAAATTGGGGAAAAAAACATATATTGTCTTTGTCTGAAGTAGTAACCATTAACAGATCACTCAGGTTCCTGAGTATTTTTCATTAGGATAATTATTGGATGGAATATTGACAAAAACTGTCATTATGACTTGAAAAAGACTTGCATATTACAAATATACCACAAAAATGTTTCTATGTTGTTACAAATATCTTTAATATGAGTTGATGTTTAGTTACCTGTGCAGCCTGAAAATTTCCTGTGGAAATGACAACCTCCCTAAAAATTACTGTATAATTCACACACTGCTCAAAACAATCTGCTTGAAAATGCAGAGATACAATGCTATCAGTTTTGGGAAAAATAAAACCATGTTTTATACTTATGCTCTTTATTAGATGACTAAAGTGAAGGATCCAGTGGGGTAAAAAGTGCTTTTTTTCTTTTCTTTTCCAAGTACATAATAAAATATTTGTGGACATAATGGCCAAAGATTGTGTTTTGGCACCTTGTGGAGAGTTATTCTCAGCATGATTTGTATTGTATATGTTGTGGATGTTACATGTTGTTAAACTTTGTCCATCGCATACACAGTCCCGGACAGCAGGGACTCATAACCGCTGAGATATATGCAGTGTTTTAAACATACATCAGATGCAGAATGGTGGTGTCCATAATTTTTCAGTTATTATCTGGTGTGTATACAGAAGATCTCAAACACGCACACTGCACGGTGCTAAAGCGATAGCAGGGACTGGGTGGCCACATTCCCCCTGATGATTTGCACTGGTGGGGGAGGAGAGGAGGCACATACCCCTGTGACAGGTGCTCGTAAATCCTGTTCTACTGGCTCAAAGAGAAAGAAGCGTGCCAGGGAAGAGACGGTGACTCTGCTTTTCCTCGTGTGCCCAGCAGATAGCACAGGCACACAGTGTGGCAGAGCCAAAAGCCGCTCGCACATGGGCATGCGCAAATAAACAGCGCTTAAATGATGCCGTGCGGTGCTGGAGTAATCAGAGGTAGGGCCCACACCTGGACCGGGGAAATGTGCTGCTGTGGAGCGCAGGTGGCGTGTGTTTGTTTGTGAATCTGCATGTGAGGGAGAGAGCCAGCAATGATACGCTTCAGCTGGAAACTGTGCTCTCAGCCTTAAGCGCAGAGTAAATAATGATGTCACAGAATAGGGGCAGACAGTGTGATCAGAATCTTATTTCTTTTACATCACAGTTCTCTATCTATCTATCTATCTATCTATCTACAGTATCTCACAGAAGTGAGTACACCCCTCACACTTTTGTAAATATTTTATTATATCTTTTCATGTGACAACACTGAAGAAATGACACTTTGCTACAATGTAAAGTAGGGAGTGTACAGCTTGTATAACAGTGTAAATTTACTGTCCCCTCAAAATAACTCAACACACAGCCATTAATGTCTAAACCGCTGGCCACAAAAGTGAGTACACCCCTAAGTGAAAATGTCCAAATTGGGCCCAAAGTGTCAATATTTTGTGTGGCCACCATTATAGGTTGAAGGGGTGGGGGGGTCAGCCTGTCAGTGCTCAGACCATAGTCTGCTCGTCCCAGAAGGAAGCCTACAGTTAAGCATGGTGATGGGAGTGTCATGGTCTGGGGCTGCATGAGTGCTACAGTTCATTGAGGGAACCATGAATGCCAACATGTATTGTGACATACTGAAGCAGAGCATGATCCCCTCCCTTCGGAGACTGGGCCGCAGGGCAGTATTGAGATACTGTATCTATCTATCTATCCATCCATCCATCCATCCATCCATCTAAAAAAATCTATAAATATAGATAATTAGTAAATTGGTAAAATCTAGTAAATTAAATTATATTATTAAAATACTTAATTTACTGGATTTTACTGTAAATAAAATACTTCACAAATGAATAGCACTTCATATAATTAATTATATTATTAAAGTAAGTACTAATACATTTGTGAAGTATTTTTTTTACAGTAAAATCCAATTAATTAAAATATTTAATTATAGAATTATATGAACTACTATTTATTTGTAAAATATTTAATATATATTAAAATCCAATAAGGTAAACACTTAAATAATATACTTATTATACATAATTGTAATTATTATATAATACTATTAATTTGTATTGTATTTACAGTTAAATGTAATCAATTCATTTAATTCTATAATTTTATGAATTACCAGTCATTTGTAAAGTATTTAATTCATAGTAAAATCCACTATTAATGAATGGTAGCTTTTCTAATTATAGCTAATTATTTTCTTTCTTATTTAGAATTTATTTGGCTTTTATTTGATGGATGCAAACCAAAGTATAAGAATATTTATCTTATTAAGTCTATACAAAATTATAGATTATAAACTATAGTTATTAAATATAAGCAGTAATAAAAAAACAGCGGCTTCTTACATGCATACATTACTATTTAAGCTTGTTTCAAAAACAGAATCAAAAATAAAAAAATTTTTTTAAAGTAATTGTGACTTTTTCCCCCAGAACTCAAGACTTTTTTCCTTGTAATTCTGAATTTATACCTCACAAATTCTGACTTTTTTCTTGCAATTCTAAGAACTGTCAGAAAAGCAAGATATAAACACAATTCTGAGAAGATAAGAATTTTTATCTAGATATTTTATAAGATATTTAGAATTTAAATTTTTATCACAATCAGAATTGTGACATATAAATAAGTCACAATTAGCTTTTTAACTTTTTTATTCCATTGTGAAAAAACTGAACTGCAAGACATAAGCTCAGAATTCAGAGAAAAGACTCAGAATTCCTAGATGTAAGCTTAATTCTGAGAAAAAAAAAATTGAATTGCAAGAAAAAAAGCCTGCATTGTGACATAAAAAGTAAGAATTATCTTTTTTTTTAATTTATTTTTATTTCATGGTGGAAACAGGCTTGCATACATTACAAATATGATTAAATGAGTGGCAAGTTGTAAAATACACATCTAATGAATTATATTTACCAACAGCCATCTCTTTTAAATGAAACGTACAAGCTACATGAAATCTCCCCCTAAAACTATACGCACATTACACACACTGTGAAATCCTTTCTGTTTCTATTCCCTCTTCTGCATCACTGCAGGCACGTCTGATTGTTGTGGGGCCCCTGCGGCAGGCTCCAGCAGAACATTATCAAACAGGCTGGTTTTCGGCAGTAAACACCAGTCCAGCATGGCACAGACATTTCTAGATCCTAGAACACTGTTTGCTGTGGGTAACCAGCACATGCTTACACATTAGACTCACTCAGTGAAGAACATGACTGAGTGAAAGAGAAGAGAGCGGGCACCGAGGGGAGTCAACTGATCATCAGAAGCATATAAAGAGCCCTTCATCAGACTGCTGTGCCAGTGTAAATGCCAATGAGAGAGTGGACCCAATTTGTGCCCTCATTATGGGGGAAAGAGGGGGCAAACGGGACCGAGGGCGTAACTTACTCTGATATACACTCTTTAAGAGTTCAGTTTCTTGTTTGCGCTTTAATCGTAGCATGGATGCAGCTGGAGCTGATTGGCACACTCGTCATTCTTCTCTCCAGGTCATGTGTCTCTGCCTGACAAGATGGGCTTTTAATAAACCTTGGCTGTCTATGCAGTAGAAACACACTCAAAAAAGTTTGAAATCCATGCTATGTGACTAGAGAAAACAGAAAAAAGGGCTGTGGCAACACCCGTAATGCAATTTTAAATTTGGCCACTATCTGTAGTTTTCACGTGATCTCTGGAGATGTCAAAAGTCCACTGAATAATGCATAGTGAGGTGTTTGGCATAATCCAGCAGGACTTTTACTGATAAATGAACAAAGATATATGGATGCGCGGAGAAAGAGTACCCATTGTTAATTTACACAGAGTACACACATTGTAATTGATTGAGAAATCCACATTAAATGAATTTTGTGTCACAGAAAATGTATCCAGGTTAAAAATATGTATCAAACAAACATATCAAACATATTGTTTCAAGCTGACATGCTAATGTATAAAACAATGTAAACTATTTGGCTAAAGAAAAAAATTGTGAGATACGCTGTGTTTAATAATAATAATAATAATAATAATAAAAATAATCTGAATTACTACTACTACTACTACTACTACTATCAATAATAATTCTGATCTCCAATCAAGATACTGGATATGTTTGTACTCCCACTCCCACATTTCTAGGATTCATCACTGAGCACAAGCGGAAACATTTGGCTGAAGAACAAAGAAAAAAATATTCTGTGAGGTACACTGTGTTTAATAATAATAATAATAATAACAATCTGAATTACTACTGCTAATACTAATTCTGATCTCCAATCAAGATACTGGATATGTTTATACTATGTTTGTACTCCCTCATTTCTAGGATTCCTCATTTAACACAAGCAGAAACAGACCTAATTGCACCCTCAACAAAAATACTACACGTTCTGGTGCACACACAATCTCACACACACACACGCACGCACGCACGCACGCACGCATGCACACACACACAGTTGATAGTCATTTCACAGCCCCTCTGAGATCATCACTCAAATGAAAAGCTGGCATTAAGCGAATCATCCTCTTGAAAAGTGGGCATTAGCAACACTCCATGCTGAGGGGCATAGTGAGTGTGTATGGGTCATATTATTGTGACAGGGCCTCATTCTGTATCCAGTTTACGCATTCTGTC